TGTGGTTATGCTTGCTTTGACTCGGTTCAATATTGAACCACAACGTTTGTGGGTTGGCCAAGTTGCGAAAACAAGGTCAAACAACTTTTATCATTATATTGTTTAAAATCAATATTTACCCATTATGTGTATTTTCTATGCACTATTATGCGTTTCTTTGAACAGAATGATTTCCCTAGTCTTTTGTATCATAGCATCTGGCTTAAATTTACTAACCAGCTTATGGATGGCTGTCATTGCCTAGTTTACCTATTCACTTTTCTACTTTCAAGATGTTTATTCGAATTTCTTTTCTTTTTTTTATGTTAATTTTAAGTGTAGACAATTTACTCTAATCCGAACTTCTCAAATACATGAAGCTTATCTTCTACCTTTTTACATATGCACAACTGGTTGGGATCGATCGACGGCTTCATATTAGTCTGTTTATGTGCTTGCTTAAATAGTAAATAATAGTCTACTGTTAATTATTATAGCCTAATCTAAGTGTGTTATCAATTTGTCTAAGTTAGCACATGCCGACTTTTTACCATCATTGACTTCAACTCCTACAACAATATCTCTAAATAAGATTGGGGCTCTGAGATGATTGACTATATAGAATAAGCGTAGGAAGGGGATCCAGATATTTGTTATTTTATTGCTTCTTATTACATATTGCCTACTACTGCACTATTTTCTATTTATTCCACAGGTTTACGCTATAATTTTTACATTTTAGCATGCAAGCTATATCTACCTCTATATTCTCCCACTTTCCAACCCTTTCTATTTTTAAGCCTCGAATCAAAACCATACAGCGTCATTATGCGTGAGTGGGGTATTGGATACAATGCTACGTTTGATTGCATGGCATACTCCGAGAAATGAATGCTTAAACTATGTCACTCGTGCTGTTCGTGTTACTGATCAAATTCTCATAAGCATGGCTACTAACAGACAATCAGTCGTTGACGCTTTGGTTGACAGACTTGCATACGAGGTTGATATTGTACTTAGTTCATCGCCTAACGATATAGTTGCCACTCAGCTTTCATGTCCAAGCAAAGCTAATCTTATAGGAAAAACGGAAGCCTTTCCTATCCCAGTTCAGGTAATTCCATTGATTATAATGCTTTTAAATTTCTTTTTTAATTTTAAATAGCCTAACATTGGGATACATTTTAAACATTTTTATCCTGTTCATCCTTAAGCTATTATCACTTCTCAATCATTACTGAATCTTACTAAATAATCTTAATTATAAAGTCTCTGAATCTTGTTGAGAGGCATCTCGTGGATTGAGCTTTTCCAATATGCTCGATCTACTTAAGAGATAACTTAGTTAAATCACCATCATCATCTATAGTATCACATTTAATCGTAGCTATGAATACCAAGATGTTGTAGCCTTTGTTTTTTTTTGTTGTTCTCTCCTTTCGCTATATAGAATTGATTTGGCTTTCTTTTTGCAACGTGGTTGTGTTGTCAGGAGTGCCTAGCTAGTTGCAACCTGTTCAAAGTTCTATTATGTAGTATCTATAATGATTTCTAGCTTTGTGCATTCCCGTAAATATACCAGGTTCACGGTCTGTCGCTGGGACCTATCATAACCACTATAACAAAGGACTTGGATCACCAAAGTGATTAACACTGGTCATTGCTTAAATATTAGCTCACTTGTTAACTATTAGTACCTAGTATAACTATGTTTATATCACGTTGAAATAAAAATTGGTTTGTGACTACTTTCGCGTGAACGTCTGATACAATGATTGTAGGACTATTTCAGCAGGAGATGACGGCGGATTCCTGTTGCGTAGATACGTTTGATATTACTATGATTTTCTGAGTGATGCAGTTCATGGGACTTCCTACGAAATTTTCTTTATTTAATAATCTAATTTTGTTCTGAATGTCCCTTAACGATTAGTAAACATACCCGAAAGAATAAAGCAATAAATGATAAGCATAGATTTCGGTGCTCATAGTCAGTTTAGGCACAACTCACTTTATTCAAAGAACCAACTTGTTATATACACATACATAGGCCAACTTTTGAAATCAATCAATGCAATGCTTAAAATAAAAATAATAAGGGAAATTTTGCTATCGAATTATGGCCGCATCAAATATACGCGTGTTTACTGTTTGTCATATTATGGAAACTACTAAGCTCAAACAAATAATCAATATATGCCCATTTTCGTATCCTTTTCATCCTTTAATGCCATCTCTTACATTAGTACCTTTACCGGATTATTCCATTTGCGAAAAATCTTTGTTTATCTCTTCTTTTTGAATAAACTTTCAGCTTTTACCAATCCTTCTATGAAACAATATATATGCAACCACACACACACAAGAACATCTGATTTTGTCATTTGGTTTAAAGAATTATGAAGAGTTTATTCTATGAATGGTAAAGTGATGAATGACAAATTCGTGGTTAGAGATCTTTATAAAAATAGTCAATTTAACTCGAGCTGCTGCCAACATTAATTTAATTCTCTTTTCCACAAATCAGTTTAAATGACTATTAATTTTCCATTTATCACATATACTTTTTGCAATGAACAATTCCCAATATTTTATTTGAGTTACACCTTTTTAGTATTTAATTATATCAAATAATAAGGCTTCATTTTTTTGACTAGACTATTCAGGAAACCCAACTTGGTGCCAGTAACCAACAGGATATCGTTGAAAATTCATTGAATGAGTTTGGACATATCGCATCCTCAGCCAATGATCTTTCTCCATCTGGTGCTTTTAATACCCAGCGGTCTGGACTAATGAAGTCAATTCTCAATCTTCTAAAACGTCTTTGCCTGGACACTGATTGGAATGATGCCATTCGCAATGTAATGGAGACTGAAAATCGATTGCCAAGTGTCATGCGCCGTATTTTTACAAATGGCCATTCACATTTTACACCACATTTGGCTCTCTTTGCAATGGAGACTATAACAAATTATATTTATACATACCCTTCTCGGATTTCATTTATGCAGGTCATTACATAGCTAAGCTTTAAATTTATCCTTATGATCAGACATTCTATTCTATATTCATTATTAATATCTTAACTAAAACTAAGTAGATACGAAGAGAAACTTGGTTTCGATGAATCTCCTGAGATATCATTGTTAGGGGGAACTTCATT